AAATAACTTAAAAAGTCATTTTCTATCAATTCTTTGATTTTTATTATCTTGCCATCTTCTCAGACAGCGTTATTCTTGCATTATTGTTAAATATCGTGCAGTATTTAAATAAATTCCATCAAACTTGTCAAATGACTTCAATAGACTATTGTATCACTTTGCTACAGCAATGTAAGTAATATATGGCCAGCCCATGCTTTCTTGATGGCGCAGGCATTCTTCAAACATGCAAAGCCCACTTTCATACACAAAAAATAAGGAAATGCAGAAACAAATTGGGACATACAACAATTGTGGATTTTATTCAACTGGACGTCTTCGTTTTTTCGAAGACAACGTACTTCATATAAAAAGCCAAGTTGTTGTGTGGGTATTTTTCATGTTTTCAACAGTAAGGACAGTAGGTAAATCAGAAATAGTCCTAAATCACAAATATAAAAGACCTCAAGACCTTTGCGTTATCGAATTATTAATCCAAAGGCTTCGCTGTAATAGTTTTTAGGTTTGTTCCATTCGCTACCTGATGGCGGGGTTAACTGCCTGATTCCAGCCTCATTCACGAGCTCCCATCGCGTTACAAACTTAATGGGCAAAGTCACAGATATCAACCTCCCACCTTTCCGAAATCACCATTTGACGATAGCTGGTGGTCTTGTTGCCTTACGGTAACTTAACTTATTATAGTTACAAAGAATAAATGTTACATTTCCTCGTTATTCTTCGTTTTCAAGTTACATCACATAGTCCATCTTGGAGGAACTTCAATAAAGGATTTATTATTAGTAGTATCTATTAATTGTTCATTCCTCCAACATGGCCGCCGGTCTTTTATCTTTTGAATCTCATTGGAATGGTTGAAAATGATCAATATAAGGTCTAGCTGGTGTTAGCGTTTCTACGTGTTGGAATTCCTGTGTACACAGGTACAGGCTATTTTCAAATGCATGCTGGYGTTGGTTGTACAAAGTATGGATAAAAATATTCACTCCTTAGATTTTGAATGGCGGGTTTTTATTCAGTGGAAAAGYATACACCCTCCGTAAAACGGGCTCTTGAAACATAGTTCAAAGGCCATTTTCTTCATTATACTCGCCTCTCCTAATYAAAATATATGCTTCTTGTCGTTCCTATATTTTGCCAGGGATAGTATGTATGAAACAATCAAATATGGCAATCATGAAAAACGCGACCAAAGCACTTTTTGTACATGTGCCTTTGCAGGTGATGGCCAGGTACTGGTGGTACTAATGATGGTCTTGTTGGGCAATGCTGGTAGTTCTATTGCTGGTTTTTGTGGCTGATCATGATTATGCATGTGTATAGGCGCTGCGGTGTCATTATGGTGTTTCCATTGTGTGTACGGTGMAAAGAAAAAAACTGATACARGTTTGATTYYATTTTTTGGATTTACATTCAGGAGCCATCGTAACGATGGAAATCGAAAATTCACACAGATCATGGCATGATCATCAGACTGAAGTTAGAATGATTAATTTTATCACGCCTCCAAATGGCTGATACCTTGTATGCACTTGRACTTTGTATGCTTTTTCAGATCATTGTTTTTAAAGTTATGGCAGCACGCACGGTTTTCTGGGGAGCTATATCCATGTTGTTATCACACGGGCTAACAATWCCTTGTAGGGCTAGGGGTTCTTTAGTTCAATATGGCCGAGGTGTCCGTGCTCGTCCTGAAAAGCACTATGGGATAAATTTTTCATAGTCATTCATATCGCGTCGGGTTTGCGATTTTTTTACGTGCATTAAAAATATTTCCCGTAGATTTTCGCATAAATAGTCCATTTCAGACGGGCTATGTTATATGTACTATGCCGGATACATTAAAAGACAATTTGCATATCAGACAAAAACAACAAGAAAAACACATTACCAATGGATTCATCTTCGAGATAAATACATTACAAATTATCTGATTTCGTAAAGTTAGATTCAATTTGAGCAACAAAAGGCAATCAATTTATCGCGAAACGCGGAACTCATTAAGTCGTATCAAATACAAACAAGAGAATACAGGTAAAGAGAACACAAGTCTCGCAGTAGGACAGGACAGGAACCTGCTGTGTGCTTTTTTACACGAGCTATTCTGCTAGTCAAAAAATACAAAGAAACGAAACAATTAGACGATGTTTAGATGTAAAATACAAGATTGAATGTGATTAAGTGTAATTAGGAATGTTTGAATTGATAGTAAATGGTACAACGACCAGAATATTGATTTGTATTGGTTTCATTCAAGCCGACATTTCGTATGTTTGGTTAATGGTGAAATAACTTTAGAGCAAAGCTGATATTACCAACAGTATTCACAAGAAATTATCATACAAGCCGCTGACAACTGAACTGGAACCAGCAAAAATACAGAAGCCGCGAAAACGTTCTGGATGGCAATATAAAGTTCAGCCGCCTGACGGCAAATATATTCACTCAGGGGAAAAACGACGCAAACAGTTCTCCCAATGTAAATGAAGTTCAATATGGCTAAAACAACAAAATAACTGATGATTTCACAAAGCTGAAATAGTGTGTGAAAGGCCATCAGGTGATGACGCTACTGAGGAAACAAGAAGTTTTATCTTTAAACACAGCACAGCATTCAGATTAAATCAATGCGATAAAGATAGATTTTAGCGCTAAAACTCATAATTCAGTCACTAAATGGATCGCAATAGGGTTTTTTGGGTAGTACAAGCGCTACATGTAATGAACATCAAACAGTAGTTTGTTCGGCTATTTTAGGTGACAAACAAAAATAGAAAAGATTTACGCTTGAGAAGAAACAAAAACACGATCAATACTTTTATTATTATGAAATCATTTTCCTACCACCGAGAATTCKCAGCATTTCAAATCTCTCCCGAAGAAACACTGTAAAAATCACAATCTAACATGCCACAGTCTCTTCTGTTCATGTTCGCAAACAACATACTCAAATAAACTCGCTCTACCATAAAAGTTTCTTTATTGGCGGCAATGTAAATGGTGACCTTTGCTAAGAAAAGAAAGTCGGTGAAACCGAAGCGTGTTTATTCAGTGATATGAACTTCTTTGCAACTGAGAAATCAACTGTTATCGAAACTCTGGCTTTGGATTTCCAGTGGCAGGGAAGCAGTTAAGCCCCACTGACACATAATCGTATAATTTGGTGGAAAGCCGTGCGCCTACGATCAATATCATTAGGCCAGTCAAGCGTCACTAATGATCTCCGAGAGACTAATTGATGCTAAGGACTTGTTTTTCTTGACATTCATGGTGTACCAAACCTAAACACTTTCCCAGAAATTCGATTCTTGAGGTCGCGTACGCGGGACTGAGTTCATTAGAAAATATCTAAGTAAGATTATTCCGTTTATTTCCCGTAACAAGAATGTCTATCGAGTCTTGAGTATTCTTTACTTCTTTGATCTCTTATAAACGAATTAGAGACATCAGCAATCGATTAGASTTAGCCAAGCATCAGTTTTTCCCGTCAGACTAGGGTTAAAAGGAAGTGATAATTGTAAAACACGGGATAAGTGTGTTTTAATAAGTTGGTGAAATGTTAACTCTTAGATGATCCTTCATTGGCAAAAAATCTCGCCTATTTACCCGTCTTTACAGAATAGGATCTTTGGAGTAGATAGGTAACACAATAGACTCGTCCGTGTCATCGCGCTTTCAATTAAGCTAATCTCGAAGTCACTTCGGCTTTCTTTAATCTCAAGTCTTTTGTTTGGATTGGCGGAAGAGTTAAGGTGGATGCCATCAGCCAATCAGACGCAGTTTTCCTGAGTGCTTTAATTGACAAGTGTGACAGCTCCCAAGATCAATATACTTGGCATTTATGAAATAAGCGAAGCATACGTGCATAATCAGCAGCACCACATACTTGAAGTCAGTGTGTTTTAGCGAGTGAACCTTACAACTGTGAATCGTATTGTCCGTGACCCCAAGGTTGTTACTAGACGAGCACAGCTTGAACGCCGTTATGAGGTGCGTTTTGTGGACATACCAACTCTTGGCAACCGCCTTGTTTCTCTGGTTAACTTTGTGTAGTACAATCACCGTTGCTCAACAAACTGCAAACACAAAGAACGTTGGAAAATGCGAGAAAATCACGATACCCCTATGCAGAGGGATTGGATACAACACGACGAGATATCCGAACTTTCTTGACCAAGAAAGCCAAGAAGAGGCAGCAGCRAAAGTACATGAATTCAAACCTTTAATAGCCGTGAGCTGTAGCCCTCATTTAAGGTTCTTTCTATGCTCGGTGTTTGCGCCGATGTGTACTAAGGAAGTCAATGCTCCWATCTATGCGTGTAGGTCGATGTGCGAGGCAGCGCGTAATGGTTGTGCTCCCATGATGAAGCGTTTTGGCTTTGATTGGCCAGAAACACTAGACTGCAATCGCTTGCCGGAGAAAAACGACCCGCGCTCAAAGAGTGATCCAACCAAGCTATGTATGTCTGCACCTAACATGAAACATACTCCAGTCAATGACACTGATATATGGAACGTTCTACAGAAAATGGGGCCAGAGTTTGAAGCAATATACAAGAACCTGGCGGGGAAGCTACCCCCAAATAAAAAAGACAAAGATGAGAAAGATTCTACTTCAGGCACTGATGGTGATTATAACTTCTTTTTCAAAAGTCCAAACATCACAGTAGCCAATAGTCTAGCTTTATTAGCTTGTAAAAACAATACYGGGCCATTAAGCAAGAAATATGCGTATGTGGAAAAGTACGAACAGTGTGTACCACGGTGCCCAAGTGAATTGCTCTTTTCTCAAGACAACAAACGCTTTGCGAACATCTGGATAAGCGTTTGGGCTATACTCTGTTTCATCTCCACTACGATCACGGTGTTAACATTTGCCATTGACACATCGCGATTTAAATATCCTGAGCGGCCGATCATATTTCTTTCCATATGTTATAATCTGTATTCACTGGGCTATATCATACGAATGATCGCTGGCCGTGAGAATGTGATTTGTGATTCTACMAACACTTACGTGGTGCAATCTGGAATGAACGTGGCTGACCATGCAACTTGTTCAGTGGTATTTTTGCTGTTGTATTACTTTGGTATGGCATCTGCACTCTGGTGGGTCATTCTCACACTTGCCTGGTTTCTCGCGGCGGGACGTAAATGGGGTCAAGAAGCTATCGAACGCAAAGCGACGTACTTCCATGTCGTTGCATGGACTATCCCTGCTATCCAAACAATCCTCGCTTTGATCATGAGAAAAATCGATGCTGACGAGCTCACTGGTTTATGCTTCGTTGGCAACTCCGATCCTGCSAACTTGTCGAACTATGTGATAGCCCCGCTAAGCTTGTACCTTATTATTGGGACAATATTTCTCCTCGCCGGTTTCATCTCTCTTTTTCGCATTCGCATGGTACTAAAAAGTAAGGAAACTAATACAGACAAATTGGAAAAGTTGATAGTACGAATTGGGGTGTTTTCAGTGTTATATATCATCCCAGTGACTTGTGTTATCGTGTGTTACTTCTACGAACGAAATAATATCAATGGATGGAAGGCCCTTGCGCCTCTTAATCTCATTATGTGTCGTGAAAGCAGCGCGTGCCTCGAGATGTATGGCCCCAATACTGAAGTTTTTGTCGTGAAATTCTTTATGCTTTTAATAATTGGAATTACTTCGAATATGTGGATTTGGTCTACTAAAACATTTAAGTCATGGACACAGTTTTATATGAAAAAAGCAGGCAAAAAACAAAAGCCCAAAAAGAAAATGGACTTTGCTGCGGCAAGTGAGATTCGCAAGCCACAAGCAGCACAACAACCTCCTCAAATGATCGGAAATCCATATACAAGTTTAATTCCACCTACACCTATGTCAGTTACTAGTTCAGCGAACAATGCTTCCTTTCAGCAAAGCAAAGCAAGTGGACTATCACCAATGGCCACAGTGTAACACCAGCTGACTATCGCTGACCGCTAACAAGGGCCTTAAACTCCATACAATAGAACATGATATTTATCAATGCTAGAAACGTGGATCTTAATACCTATCTACATTCAATATCTTGGTGTAATAGTCTAAGTACGCCTTCTGCGAGGAATGAAATCAACGAAAGGATATTGAATTCTGTATAATATAAACAATTAATTAGGCCGAAAATGGGAGTCAAAATAAGGAAATTTTACATTATTTGGTAGTCTTTTCTTTCGAGACACGAAGAATATATACTGGTATTAAACGAAYCATTTGGTAAACGAGATTCAAGCTACAACAATATCATTGTTTATAGCAAGCCAGCCGATCAGGAACATTAGCCTCAGGGTCGCTTTTATTCTTTCAAATGAATACGTGTTTTTCAAAATATGACATTTCATAGGCAAAATTGTTACCCCTTACGGCAAACGCTTTGTTGTACTTTACGTTTTAAACCAACATCTTCACCCTCCCGCGGTGAACATGAATGCCTTTAACTGTAACTGTTATATTCTTCACTGTGCATTTTCATTCAGAGGGAGGAGTCGAGATTCAAGAAACCATATTCATTTATATGCAAGTAAAATGATTTAGTTTTGTCCCTTGTAAATATCCGCATTCAAGATAATAACTTCAAACGTTGTTGTAAATTTTGTCGATTTTCATTTTGGTTGTAAAAAGTTTTCATAAAAATCATTATCTTTTTTGATAAACGTTTGAAATCGAAATAAAAAGACGCAAAACGCTTTTGATGTTGTCATACGAAAGATATCTACGAATTGTCCGTCCGGAAACTCACTGTAATCCACAGTGACGTTACTTTGGACGTGAAATCATCTTTTTGCTATGGAAATGAAAGCTAGCGCAAACCGAACACTGVGAGTTGCGGGTCAACTCGTTRAAGTATCAGTTTTCAATAATAAAGCTATGCGGACTCGGAATGTCTTGATAACAATCTTAAATTTTGTGTTTCATTTTAAATGAATTACTTCCTACGATCTACTTGAATCTCGAGAAATCAAGTCAAGTTTGTCTGTATCTGATTGAGGTTCAAAAGTTCACATAATTTCAGTATAGCTACAGACAAATTACGTACCAATCGATCAAATATTATTTTCAATCTTTCTCGTTTATGAATGACTGGTTCAAAAAATCAATTTTCTACATAAAGTTGGAAAGTAGACTGTTGTTGTCGGGAATGCCAAGTCTGTCAATCTGTGTCAAGAGTTTCTTCCTGTAATTTCATTGGCTTTTTGGGTTGTGATAAGAAATGTCGGAAAGACTTCAAACGCAAGAAGATATGTTTGACTGAGTATCGTCTTTACATTGAGCCGCCAAGCAAAACGCCAAATAAAAGTTTCTTATTCAATGAAAAAGCAGCCTACACAGTTCGTGACCTCCATTTAAGAGGGAAATTAAATTTAGTTCACTCTTAGATCGAATTTTGTCTATATAAAGCATCCCTGATGACAGGCTTTTGCGGCGTACTCGACTATGTCAATACAATTTTTTAGATCCCTTTTTGTAATGTTTGCCCAATTCAAATATCAAAAACAGCTGACGTTCATGAAAGCCAAAAAATACTCTTGATTGCAAATTTAATTCCGACGCTAAATTATGTGACAAAACGCTTTATTGAACTGCATCATATTCGTCCAACTAAACATGAAATATTGATGTAGTTCTATTAATAAAAGTGTTAGGTATTCACAAACTGTAATGCTCCAAAACCTGTATCTTTCAAAATTACAATAATGATATTCACTGCAGACTTTGTTTCTGTCTTCAAAAGTTTGAATTAAAAATGATTCTTTTGTTTCGRGACAGCAAGTTTGACAGTGCTACAAGCCAAACAAACAGCTTATAAGGTAGCTTGATTGATTCACGCTATACAATTCTAATGAAAAAGGATAACAACGAAAAGTTGAGCTATTAGCGTTATAGCAGAAAACTCACGAAATGTTTCAAACTTGTCAATAAAAACCGCGCGCAATTTTCCCGTGCCAAAACCTTTTTTGAAGATTTGATTCCAAAAGGGAGTTTCATTAAAATAGCTGCAGGCAAAATTGATTGTACAACGAGAGCAAGGATGAAAGGAGACGTACCTCCGGCGCCACAATTATAAACACAACATTTAAACACTGGAGTTTCTTTTGAAATCCGAGGTGTGTTCACTGCACGACTTATAAAAAAATAATATGCAGATTTGAAGACTTGAAAAGAACATATTTAACAATGTAAACGATTTGGAGTATATGAAATGTACCGTGTATTGAACTCTTTTCCCAAGGAATTCACTAATGTGATTTTCGGCAGAATATAAAGAAGGTTTTTCATTGTCTAGAAATCCAACACTCTAAAAGCTTAATCCCATCGTCAACAGCAAACCTGACCGAATTCGTGCGGTTTATAGAGAGTGCTACGTTTTCAAATAAAAACAAATGCTTCCGCCATCTTGTTTTAGCGGGAAACAGGCGGACGCGCGCGCGGTGAAGTTATTACTTAGCCAAATAAAGAAACAATCCATAGAAATAAACATCATCAACAACAAATATATCTCGATTGAAAATATACCAAGGAAATCCCACCCTTATGAAATTGCATTTATCTTCTGTCAACTAGGTTGATGGCTGATTAGTGAAAAGGAAGCGAAGTGGACGCACGCTAATGACATTACTCATARTCGCTTTATTACAAAGACTTGGCAGCTTGTTAGACGTTATTGCTTATCTTCAAAATTGCTTTAGGGCCTAGAAATTAAATTAAGTCTGTGCATTTTTCATTGCTAAATTCAATTATTCGATAGCTTTTAATTTACATGTGAAAAATATCCGATGTGAAAATACATGAACGAAAAAAAAAAAACACAAAATACCGAGGCAAATGACAATGACAAGGAGTTATACATAACATGTTCACACGATAGGACAAATTAGCAAAAAAATTAGACACATTCCACAGCAAATATGAAATGATCTAACCGAATAGATGAGGAAGAACGAATAAATAATTCAATAAGATTTCTATCTTCAAGTTCATCAYTAAAACAACTGATATCATCTGCCCAGCCATGCAGTTCTATCACATGTCATTCCTAAAGTCGAGCAGACATTTAATAATCCTAAGGATTTAGTCCGACAAACGAAAACTTGACAGCTTTCTTCTCGTACTAAACTAAACAAAGGCACAGTAACATCACCGTAATGAGAGAGTCAATCCTATAGAGAAGAGGAAGACACGTCATTAACAAAATAGACAAGAGTTGAAAGGTGGTAGTTTTGTCTGATAAACATTTTACGATGGATAAATGTTATTAAAAATAAACAAGAGCTAGCACACGGATGATACAAAAATACTTTTATCAGAAAACAATTTGGAAACAAGTCTTTTCCGACTAATGGTCGGTAAAAGAAAATGGCGGGAAACTTTAAGGAAAAAAGAACTAAAGCAATGTGAGAAATGCATGAGAAAAGTAGTGCCTTTTTTTCTCGAATGAAATGAAAGAGAAATGCACATATAAAATGAATACGAAAAGACGGTCGCTTCAGTGTATTTTGTCTCATTTAAGAAGAGAAGAAAGGAGGAAAGAACAGACGAGGCAGCAAAAACAAAGGCATCACTCAAAATCTGATCAAAGCGAGTCAGTTTTAGATCATGATTTCATGACCGTAGACAAAACACCGATCGGTGACCTGCGCCCGGTTGTTCGCTATGTACAGTTATATACAGTATAGATTCTGTATGGATTTATCTCGGTAAATAACACTATTCACCATCAACTAGCCCAAAGGTTTGGTGTACTGTGCGTCTAGACTTGTCATTAGCAATGTTATGGAATAGTGGAACTATGAAACCTAATGAACGACTGAAACTAAATCAATCAGTAAATGCAGACAAATTGTCTGTATACTAAAAGTGKTTTTGACATTTTAAGATCACCCTGAGTTGTTTTGTTAGCTCTATAAATTAAACCAGTCAGGAAGAGGAGGCGCTTCTTATTACGTCATCAAWGCACATTCAAAGTATTTTCTGTGTAGAATACCGAGTTCGATCAAGGAATACCAATTCCTAATTAACTAAAGTTAAGTATTTGATGATTGCTGCGGCAGTMTCTTAAGATTTTGGAGTTAATACTGAGATGTTAAAATGCCATTTTTTCTTCAAACATGACCTTTTCGGACATCGGGAAACCATCCCTGGATTGTCAATGTAAGCTGGCCGCCGTCTCGCGACCACTGCAAACGGAAGGGTTTGCCTCCTAAATTGTATCTTAGTTATATTTATGGCATTTGTTATTTTAGCGGTTTTAAGTGAATGAGCTCTAGTTTGCATTGGGTTACAAGGCACCTYGGGCTCTCTAGGATGACTTGGGAAACTTATGTTTTATTTTTAAAACAWAATACATGACGGGCTTTCAAAATGTCCTTATAATACATATTAGGTCGAAATTGCTGAAAACTTTGCTTTGCAATGTTTCTTCTTTAAAAACTATTTGTGAGATAAAAGGTCAATTCAGGCTAATATCCAGGGCCAGATTCGGTTGACCTCGGACAGAATTTTAAATCTAATTTGCCACCACTCTCTCAAATACTTGGGATATGGACACATCTGAATTGGATTTACAGCGATTTAGATTATCTCTTTCATCAGGACTAAACATCAACACGATCAAAGCGAATTAGAACCCTATTCATTACTCAGCATACGAGTTGAATTAGTTTGTCTGCATTGTGGGAAAATTTGTCACACAAACTTTAACACCGGCAATCAATTTGATTCATTTATAGAAAACATAAAGTTCACCACTGAACTTCGTCACGCAAACTGATAGCCGATCTTGGAAGCCTTCGAGCACATTTTATAAAGGTATTTGAAAATTTGCAAGCTACATGCCCTCGGGAAGAATTCTAAGCTCCAATGATGATAGTATAAAATAACATGCATTAATTTGTTGATTCGTTGAGTGGCAGTGAATGGTAGCAATACGGACAAAGATATAATCAGATCAAGAAACGAGGCTGCTGGCGCCACAACGCCAACCAGGTGAATTGACGAGTGATGAGATTTTTGCGGCAAATGTAGTTTCTCTAGAAAACGCACGTTCCCTTTCAAGTTTGTCATCGAGTTAAGTCGGCTTGTAATAGAATTATAAAGTTGTGCGATAATTGTGGTACATCAAAGAGTACGGTAGTTCTGAAATTTAAATTGCATTAAAGCGTTTAAAATTTACCGCGAAGGAAAAAGGTATAAAGGTAGATCGTATGTAAATCGGGTGTGTAAAGCGGCCCGCTATGAGACCGAGACTGTCTGAGGAAAGCAACATGCACGAAAAGTTTGCGGTTAAAAGAAGAAGAATTTAAGAACACTTGTTTCTTCTGTCATAGGACGACTAAGTAAAAGTAGCTTTAAGGAAAGTATTTGGTGTCATATTTATAAATTGCCGATGAATGAGACAAGGTACTAATAAATGGTTCGGCCATGACAGGAAGTACTGTCATTGGATACAAACAGCGGCTGCGGCATGTGTCTGACAATAAAGCAGACATACATTCTTCCTGGAATACAAAAATTTCAGTGACAAAGCGACCTAGACTAAATTGATTTCTAAATTATTGTTTTTCGTCATTTTTGATGTTGTAAGATGTTGAGAGTGTCGAGTAGTCAAAATGTTCGCAGCCTACCCAAGTTCTGTCGGCTAGTGCAAGGGAAACTAAAGTCGATTTCCAATTGCCAGACCGATCTACTTAGAAGTAAATAATGCCTTTGTCAAGATTTCTCAGTAATTTTCCCATGTTTTRCATTATAGTATGCCTGGGATAAAATTTATAAAATGTTTTTTCTCATTGGGTTTGGCCACTCAGTTCTGACAAATGACAATCGACCTATTAGCAATACATAGTTATCATAACATCAAACTCTTAAAATCCTTCCACGTCGCCAAATAATATTAAATCATGTCTGAATAGACCACACTGAATGCTTATTGGACAGATTTTAATTAAAATAAAATCATTTACGAATAAAATATAGTAATAATTATCGTATTATTAGTATAATCTATTATTTCATTATATATGCTTATTACGGTATAGGCAATGATGGTTTTCATATTATAAGGCAAATTAGCCATGCGATCTTCCAGGGATCAACAACTTCAAATTTGATATTTGAGAAGGTTTGCGATATAATTTTTTATAGTTATCTTTATCGTTTAATCTTTTTATGCACAAGTATAACTAATATAACTCTAATAGAAGACCCCAGAGTACTGGCTTTTCAAGTAGGTATATGGTATAGAGCTAGTCGATCGCTTTTTCTAATGTTTCTTCTAATGTTTGCCCCATTGAAGATCGGGTGGCAAATTTGCGCATTTGAAAACCATCATGGAGGCTATCGTTAATAAGGCTTATTTATTTATTGRTTTTGTCGTCTTATGCGATATTTCGGTCAAAACTAGAAGTGATTCATATTATATATATATGTGAATTGTTATTTTCGAACCTTATATTAGACCACGCCTATAATGCACCCTCTTTCTAGAGGTACGATTTCTTCAGTTTTTAATCTGGATGGAAGAACTGTCAGAAGAGTTCTCAACTTAAAGGATAGACTTGTCAAACGCCCGACTCTTTGGACTCACAAAAGAACCGTTGTGAAAGTCTACTCAAAACAGATTGAGATTGTAATGGACCAGGGCATTGACCATATTTACAGGAATAGACACAGCTGTCAATCATTAATTTCAGTCTTGTGCGGCGTTTATTAGATAATCATTTAAGCATGTTTATTATGCCAAAAGTTTGAGGTGTCATGAAAAAGCTAGCCTAATTTCCAGCCGGAGCTTGACTTCTAAGTTCCACTCCACCCCAAAGTCCCACATTCGAGTCATYCGTATACTTGTCAAAATGACCACGCTTACTGCCTATGATGGCGGCATCTTAAGCAAATATGGTAACATATTCTTCAAAGCAGACGTCAACACAGACCACGCCTTTGAATGCATTATGGGTAATCTAGTCATTTTTACGAATAAACATAAAAAGACAGGGGCATGTTTATAATTTAAGTCTAAATTGACATTTGAGGACAATACATTTTATGTTATTTTTTATATTATCAATTATCTTAACCGGGAATCGGCTGTCCATGATGCATTCACAAGTGCAAACTTACTAACTGATAGACTGGCAAAGGTTACGAAAGAAATATGTATTAATCAATTCAGCGTAAGTTATGGTGATGATATTCAACCCTTGATAATCTAATATCATGTGAATACTAGTCCACTAAATACAAAACAAAACACWGCAATAAGCTACTTGAGTGTATTAGTGTAAAATATCTATTTRACAGATTTAATCCCTCAATCTGAACGTAATTATATATATATGATTCTTCTACATTTATGTAATTGCTGCTATTGGAGTTTAAGCTTCAACAACTGTTTCCGTACAGTGTTTTTTGCCCCTAGTAACGTTTCTCAGTATGAGATCAAATCAACCAATCAAATCACAGCAGGCACGACATGCGGATTTCCGTTCCAAAATAAATTGGTTAGTTTTGGCTACTTGTGCACGCGATGTCGCCCCAGAGAAACAGGGCCAACACTAATAGAAATACTTAGAAACAGCAGTACCTCACCAGTACTCACTTAAATACATAGGTCGTCGCAGGTCGTTATGATCCGAAAGAGACTCGATTGCAATCCTGTCTAGTATAGCGTGATCCAATGAATGTGTATTTACTGCATTACCCTATAGTCTGCTCTCTCAAAATCAGTATCCCAATTTCAAATCCTGAATTATGTGCCACAAATATTATCACCAAGTTAATAGATANGCTCATCATGATGATAACTATGGTAACTGTCACCTTCGTAGTGACATGTAGAGATCATCTGCAGGAAAATACTTTGCACAGTCGATATCAAACACGTCTCCAAGCCTCTCACGGTTGATCTCACAAAACCTAAACAAATCGGAAAMTATCATATATTATTACATCAAAAACACTTGTTGTCCCTGGTATCACCCCTCCCACCTAAGTATGAGACCCGACGGTAATCAGCTGATCAAATGGCCTCTAAAACTATTAGCTAGGGTGCTACAACTTGCATTTTGTGAAGTGCTTCTATTTCCTCTAAGTCCTAAAAACAGCCGAAAGTCGTTTTCTGTTCATCAATCCAAGTCTGAAGAGAAACAAAGAATAAGATTGGAACTGAAAGAAGCTGCAACAGGACACTGATATTGRGTGTTTTGGACACTTTTCGGAGAAAATGCATCATAAACTCTCGTCGTGATTACTATTATCAGCATGGATCATAGTTAAAATAGAGAGGACATTCTCCTCTATTAACTATGCATGGATAAAACATTTATAAAAGGTCTGGGGTGACAATCCATGATGATAACCCTTACAAATACAAAGAGAAAATTTGAATTAACATTTACACCGAGTAAACAAAAAGTCGCTTTGTAACTGCAAAGCATAAAACGTTTAYATTTTTTGGGAAAATAGAATGGATAGTGAAGGCTGTCCTGAACAAATCAATTAGTTGTATACATTACAGGCACTAGCAGGCAAACGAATCAATTATCTCGATTAGCAATGGTAACTATGATTAAAGTTAAACAATCAAATCGACAAACATATCCCTCCTAAAGCTTCCACGTGTATTATTAGCAGCTTGTTACAATTATAACCTTTTCTTTTACAAACCGCAATTCCTGGTAAATAATGGTAAATAAGCAGGAAATAGTCTTGTACAAAGAGTACAGGTGCGTGTGCAGGAGAAAAAAGGATTCAAGCTTTYATAGTGGTTTCAAGACTATGGAAAAGACGATTGATTCACACTAAACAACCTGTTGGACTATCGGAAAATCTGTTAGACTATTAATTTGACAAATAAAGTCTCATATTTCAAAGACTTTGTCTGCCAATACAGGATAACATATTTTCTTGAAGCCACAGAAACAAGCTCTATGTAACCCCCTGCGCACYGCCCTGSTTTTTGCCTACATTGCATTATTCTTTAGCATATGCATTATAATCACAACACTGTTAATACASATAGTAATACTGTAGCATTGAGAGGATTCAATGGAAACTTTCAAAAGCTATTTAATTATAATAAACTCGATGCATCTCTTTTCAAAGGGACACGCTCTTATAGCATACCTTTTGTGGGTAATTTGATTTAAGTACTTCCAGTATGAAGGGCGAATGGCTTCAACTTCAAAACATGCCTATTGAAAATATATGTCATCGATTGTTGAAATGATATCGATGATGGCAATATACTTGCAACCCATGGACATAGTCTTGTTAAGACAACAAAAGTATTTGCATAAAACGTTTTTTAACATTTTATTTTCAAATWTAAAAAATTTAGAAGGAAAAGGAAAGGAAGGAAATTTAGATGGTAACCAAACTTGGATGTRATCTGCATTGTAACGAAAGTTTGAGAACAACATCACACAAATATATGAAATGAAAYAAACTTCTAAATTTGTTAAAAACATCGATATCATGATACATACTCCATGGAAGACCATAGCCGTACACACAGAATATATCAGCAGCTTTGCATGAGGAATCCTGGGAACTACTCCTTGCTTTATACCTCTCTTGTACATAATCTACATTATAAACATATTAAAATCGAAAGAAAAAACAAACGATATCTAGTAGTCTCACCATAGAYGTTATGTAAGAAGTTCTATATGAGATTGAATGAAGACATCAGTGTGTACCTCTCCTATTTTTGAAGCTAAGTAGAGGGCAATTGTTGAGCTACGGTAAAACATCATAGAAAGTCCTGATAATCCACCAGCAAGAAATGATGTGATTCCATCTTGTTTCTTCCTGTACCACGTTAATAAGTATTCTACAACCTAACAGTGTAAAATTCCAGTTACTCTTGTATAATGATTAAAACTAAGTTGGAAGGAGAGCGTGTCTTGATGAATAAAATGATAATATGTGGACATTGTGCAGGAACTGAGATAATGCCTCCCCCCTCAGTCTTCACATTGATGACGTAACCTTTCTGAACCTGACAATTAGGTGTATCAATAGTTTCAGAAATTAAACATTGCAAACATAACAAGTATGATAGCTACAGTTGCTGTTCCAGTCTAAATCAAAATTAAACAACAACAACAAAATATGATTCAATTAACCTAATATGAATACAGTCGAGTTTTTGGCATTTTTGGGAAGACAAATTGAAGAGGGAACATCGATCAAAAGAAGAACAGTTAAAATTAAAACTCACTTTAAACACTCCTATTTGACTGGCTAAGAATAGTCCACATTGAAAATTGTCAGAATACAACAAAATCTTGGGAATTGAGCCTGCAACAGAGAAACATRAAAATTCAACAAGTATTTTCTATTAATAATGCTCTGGTGTCTATTATATGTACACTTTATGAGAGTATCAACACCAATTAGAACTTTTTGAGAACTAAAAAAATAAAATGATAAAATGAGTAAAACAATACAAATGATATCACACAACAAAGAAGCAAGAAATCATCAATTATACTTACGTGGACGTTTCAATGCATTTGGCAAGTTAGTCAGCAATTGTAAGGAGTACCCTATGACAAATGCCTTAAAACTATGGTGTATGCTGTTGAAAGACAGAAAACAAACAAAGGTGAGAAATGATTCTCTCTTTGTGACTTCCAAAKTAACATGTTATACATACAGTCAATTGCAAAAAGGTTGTGGATATATACTTAATATACACAATAATGAACACATAAAATACCTAACCAATGAATCCATAACATCACCTAACTGATGACATCTCATGTGTAGAAATGCCAACAATATCATGTTTTAATGGTTTTCAATATAGATTTTGAGAAAGCACAGTTGCCATATTCCAACACATTATTTCAATATGTATCCATTTCTGTGAACATTTCTACTGTTGGTCAGTTTTTCAGAAATTAATAAATTTTGTAAAACATACTCAGAAGGCTTTCTTTGGGTTTTGGCTGCCTTGAAATTTTATTTAGGCATACTTCTCAATCTCATTAGGTATATTATGAATCTCATGTTTACGTATTTATCTCAATCCCAACCTTTTGCAATTGGTGGTGTATAGCAAGTATCAATCCATTGTAAAATAATACACTTATTGATAG